CCGCCGCCTCCCTCTCCAAGGTCAAACACAACCCTGATGCATCCCTCAATGAAATCGAGTTTGACACCCCTGGTGTAAAGGAAGGGAAAAAAAACACACCAACCTTTAGAGCTTTTAAGCGGGCCTGCTCTTCCTCTAATGCAGCTTGTTTTTCCCTTTCATCGACTTTGGTGAGCGAGAGGCCAGTACTTGCGAGGGAAGAAACGGCATTGGAAAGCGTGGTAGCCCTAGGAAAACAGGACAATAGGAAACCGACTGTTATACAGTGTAGATAGGAAAAGGGATTCTGCTGTACTTCCATTTATTCAGCATTCCAAATGGAAACTCCTCCCCTTTTCTGACCAGATGGACCTACTGTGGCCTAGAATTGAGTGGCTTTTCTGCCTGAATCCCAACAGATTTATATACTCCTGGAGATCTTAATTTTTACAAAGATGACGAGAGAAGCAACAAACAATGCATTTATTAATAATTCCTTCAACACAATGCTGGGACTGAAGTTTTTATTACATTTTATACTAGATTAATAGACTGGTTATTGATTTAGGCTGTGTTCATTCCCAATTATGTGCCTCACAGGTGTGACTTTTAAGCTATTCAAAATAACACGAGGCTTCGGGGGGATAAAACAGCAAAATCATCAGTCCAGCTTTGAGAACTTTATGTATCTTGTTTTGTTTGGGTTTTATTTACTTACTTATTTATTTTATTTATATTGCCACCTATTTGCCCTTGGCGACTTAAGGCGGCTTACAGAATGTAAAACCACTTACAACAATAAAAATGAACAAAAAGAATCAAATAAATTAATATAGTACAATATAACAAAATCACCCCCCCCATCTCCTGCCCCAATGACAGCCAATCACATGAGCCATTTAATGGGCTTCATCCCGCTCTGGGTTCCCCAGGCTCAGCTGCCAGAACCAGGTCTTCAGCGCCTTCTGGAAGAGTATTAGTGGGGGCTATTCTAATCTCTGGCGGAATGATGTTCCAGAGAGAGGGAGCCACCAGAAGAAGCCAGCCCTTCTTCTCAGTCCCACCAAGTATATCTCCCTCAGAGTTGGGACTCGCAACATTCCCTGCCTCCCTGCTCTGATGGGCCAGGTAGATGTGACCAGCAAGAGACGGTCCCTCAGATCAACTGGTCCCAAGTGATGAAGGGCTTGAAACCTATGGCATGCGTGCCATAGGTTTGCCATCACGGCATTATGGTGTTGGACTAACCTGGGGAGACCAGTTTCTTGTCCACCCTGAGATATAAATATTCACAGGGTGCACTTCGACCAGTCGTCAAACCAGCACCTTAAATTGCACCTAGAAGCAAATTGGCAACCAATGCAGCTCCTGCAAGAGAGGCTATACATGTGTGCACCGGTGTCTGCACAAAACCATGTGGGCTGCTGCATTTTGCACCAACTGGAGCTTCCAGATGCTCTTCTAGAGCAGTCCCATGTAGAGCCTGTTGCAATATTCAAGACAGGAAGTGACTAGGGCATAAGTGACCATGAGTAGGGTCTGTTTATATCCAATAAATTATGAAAGATTTAGTAGCCATTATGGCAGTGATGGTTAACCTTTTTATTGTTGTGTACCAAAAGCACCTGCCCACACATGTAATGCGTGCATGACACACTCCATGTGCGCACCATCCTCCTGTGCATGTGAGTGCCCCACACCCCCTGCACATGCACGCATTATCCCCCTTGCACCCCGTTTTGGGCCTAGCAGGCCTCTCTAAAACCTCCTGGGACCAAAAACGGGTGGTGGTGGGGCACCACATCGCAACGCATTCCCCTCTGCCCTCACGCATGCACACATGACCCCTCCACATATGGACACATGTCTTCCACAAGCGCCCCTCTCTCCCTGCATGCACAGCAGAGTCATGAAAATCAGCTGGCTGGTGGGAGGCACACACATGCGTGGTGGAGCTGAGCTGGGGCGGCGGCTCATATGCCGAGAGAGGGAGAGCTCCGCATGCCACCTGTGGCATGCATGCCATAGGTTTGCCATCACGGCATTGATTTACTGCTGTTGGGAACAAAGGTGAGCCACTTTTTCCTAGAGTAAACCTCCCCAAGACACCATTTCAGAGTTTCATGTTTAAGAGGTCCACAAAACCTCTTTATATTTACAAACACAAGGACCAAGACTGGTTTTGCCCTCTAAGAGAGCGTCACATATAATTTTCCATTTGTTCTCACAAAGCAGATCAGCTGGTATCAAATTTTATCAGGCAAAGGAACCGGCTACAAAAATCATCAAAATATGCAAAGCATATCCAAAGAAGCTTGCATGCTACCCAATGCCCAGCTTGCTACAAAAAGCCTCCGACACATACCTGCTAGCAGCAGTGGAATCTTTGATTTTCTTTCCTTCCAAGGAGGCCAGGTGCTGCTCTAAAGCATCCAGGAGACTACTTGGTGCCTACAAGACAATTCATCAATTGGTTAGAAAATCCAAAATATTTAATGTTAACCTTCCCAGCCTCAAGTCTGTGGATATTTTGTAAGTTGTGGTGGTGCAGGGGTTAGAATGCAGTTATTACAGGCTAATTCTGCAGACTGTCAGGAGTTTGATCCTGACCGGCTTAAGGTTGACTCAGCCTTCCATCCTTCCAAGGTTGGTAAAATGAGGACCCAGATTGTTGGGGGCAATAGACTGTAAACTATTTAGAGGGAGGCTGTAAAGAAGTGTGAAGCAGTATAAGTCTAGGTGTTATTGGGAGGGTGGGAAGGAGGGAAGGAAGGAAGGCATGGTGGCACAGTGGTTAGAATGCAGTATTACAGGCTAACCCTGCCCACTGCCAGGAGTTCAATCTTGACTGGCTCAAGATTGACTCAACCTTCCATCTTTCTGAGGTCAATGAAAATGAGGACCCAGATTGTTGGGGGCAATATGCTGTCTCTATAAACCGCTTAGAGAGAGCTGTAAAGCACTTTGAAGCGGTATATAAATTTGAGTGCTATTGCTATTTAAGTCCTTGAAGATCTGGGTTGTTCCCAGGGAACAACCCAGTTATGATTGTATACTTTTTTATGGTACAGAAATGACCAAAAACATAGCAAAAATAATGAAAAAAATCAAAAGCATTAAAAACCATTAAAAAAACATAAAACATAATCTTCAGGATTATTAGTTTGTAACCCTATACTTGCTGCCTAATTGTAATTGCAAGATTGGCAGCAATATAAAGTTATCATTCTCCAGTGATTAAAATGTATTAAGTAGCATATGGGGTTCCATTATATTGTCAGACACAGATTAAAAAACGATCATAAATTTAAGGAAAAAGCAGATAACGTGGTACATTTAAGAGCTGGCATTGATTCCACATTACAAGGAATACAATTTTAAAGCAGTTACTATAAGCCAAATCGGTGTATTAATTACTATAAATCTTTGTCATCCTTTCTTGGCTCTTGGCAATCATGTGCTGTACTGAGGTACTTTTTTTTAGCTTGATACGAAAATTCAAAATATGATTTACATTCAAGAACACAGCACTTTAAGGGAAAATTTTAAAATAAATAAATATATCCCTATCTCTCTCACCACAGTAACTCTACGTGGCAACAAAGGTTTAAAATGAAACAAAAATATCAACAGCTTAAAGCCTCAAAATATAAACCTAAAGAGGGAAAATGGCAGACAAGAATAAAAACTATCAAGCTTATCAAGGATCAATCCTGAAGAATTTAAAAATTGTCTGTGCAAAAGTTGAACAATGGGGAAAATTGCAGATTTTAAATTTATGGTTTTTATACAAAAAAAAAATCATTCTGTAAGTATGATGAAATTCCATCAAAATTGTCTTTTTGACAACTGAAGATGGCATGTAAACTAAGATAATAATTAATCATAATGAATTTACCTGAGAAAGATCTGGTATGTCTCCTCTATCTATTCCCACTTGCTGTAAGAACAAAGAGATTTAATGAGATAAAGGCCTCAGTATTGTGTATCAACAGTGTTGGAAAGCAGCCAACTTGAATGAAATATTCACAAAATCTATATTTGCACCAATATTAATCCTCCCATTGGACTTCTCTTCAGTGTGGTTTAATCTATGCCTGTGTTTCTCAATCTTGGCCATTTGAAGATAGATGGACTTCAATTCCCAGAATTCCCCAGCCAGCCATGGCTAGGGAATTCTGGGAATTGAAGTCAACCTATCTTAAAATGGCCAAGATTCAAAAGCACTAAAGTAAGCTTTCAATGAAATGTCTAAACATTCCATAAATTCTTGACAATAATATCCAGTCAAAATATAGTAAATAATAAAACAGTAAGAATATTCTTTAGGGACTAAGCAATTTTTACCTCCGCAACTTTGAGAAATTCAGAAATTCTTGCCATTCTAGTCAGAAACTTCTTATATATGTCAAGGGCTTCCTTGCATTGGTTTTTTTTCATGTCAAAGTATTTTTCTGCAGAAGGAAATTTTTTTAAATGACAACAGTCATGATAATCATCTTGTTTACAGAAAAAAATCTGTGTATTACATAGTTACAAAGGTCAGAGATGTTCACAACTGTTCACATTATTAAATCTTAAACATCACAAACATTTCCTTGCAACCTGTCAATGTATTATGAAGGTCTGATACACCAACAACAGTTCCAAAATAAGAACGAGTGGGATGCCAGCTGGAATTAAATTCAAACAGGTAATTACTTAAAATTAGAATTCTAAAAAAGCCTGTGTTTATACTAAATACTAAAATGAAATCCCACAGCATAAATGTATATTTGAGCTGCTCTAAAAATATCACGGTTACCCTTGTTATATATAAAGTGGTGTGTGTGTGTGTGTATGTGTGTGTGTGTCTTTGGTTATTTGGGTTTTCTCCTGTGTAAAATTGGAAGTGTCTTGGCCAAGACATTTCCCCCCTTACAACCCAGTTTTGAAGTTGCAAGTTGCACCCTGCTAATTGTCAATTGTGACTGCAATTTGGAAACTCGGCAATTGTTCTGTATTTATGGCATCTGCAGTGCCCTGCAGTTACATGATCATGATTTATGACATTTTAGCCAGAACTGGTGGTGTTCAGCCATATGTGAATAATACGTTTGTTTAACAATGGTTTTGATCATTGCAAAAAACGTTGCAAGAACAGGTCAGGTCATGGGGCATCCCATTTTACCACCGTAAATAGGGATGCCCCAATTTACGGCAGGCACAATTACAGTAAGTCAATTACCTGTAGCCTAAAAAGCAGAAATTAGAAATTCAACTTATCAAGAATGAGACAAACTACAAATTGTCATATTTTCTAGCCTTCATTTCGTCTTTACATGGAGTTGATTCACAGTGACTAGTGAAGTATGATTTTTTGATTATAACATTACATTTAATACAGTGTGTAGAGGGTATTATCTATTAATGGAAATGTGTAACCTGCTTACTCTACTCAGGGTCTTGGCATCTATCCTTAAAACACTCTAACAACATAAGTTATGACAACAAAACTTGAGTTAACATGAAATCTATTGCCAACATTGCCACATTCCATAAAGAAGGAACAAAGGAAAAAGTGTAATTTGATGTGTGGTGAATGGTTTTACAGAAAAATTATAATTTAAAGAACCAATTGTGTCAAAATTATTCTGAATCAGCTTGTATTCAGGATTATTTCTGTTTATATGTAAAGAAAGCCGCTCTTAAAGGCTGATCTGAAATTATCTTGAAAAACAATGAAAATGAAATTCACAACCTTACTAAGTATAAGGAGTAAGTGACTGAGAAAGTTCTTACCCAGCAAATTAATAATCCCTTCATTATATGCTGCAAAAAGTCTAATGGCATCTTTGAAAAGGAGCATGAAGGCTGCATTAATTACACCATTTGTGAGTTCATTGCTGTTGACCTGTTAAAAAAAGGAGAGGAGAAGGGAGAGGGAGAGAGAGGGAGAAAGAAAGATGGAAGTTAAGCAAACTGAGGAAAAAAAAAACGTCCAAACTATCTTCTACNAAAGCACCTGAGGGCAGGACAAGAAGCAATGGGTGGAAACTAATCAAGGAAAGAAGCAACTTAGAACTGAGGAGAAATTTCCTGATAGAACAATTAATCAGTGGAACAGCTTGCCTCCAGAAGTTGTGAATGCCCCAACACTGCAAGTCTTTAAGAAGATGTTGGATAGCCATTTGTCTGAAACGGTATAGGATTTCCTGCCTAGGCAGGGGGTTGGACAAGAAGACCTCCAAGGTCCCTTCCAACTCTGCTATTGTATTGTATTGTATTATTTTACAAAAAAATTGATGGTTGATCAAAAAAAAAATCATCAAAGCATAATAAGAGCCTGTAAAAATTAAAAGCCTTTTTCTAGTCTTTTTTACAGGTTAGAGATCAGTTTTCTCGGTTCAATATGGAGACTAAATGCAGGTAACGGAAAAAGCAAGCCTAAAATTGGGAGATTTTATCTTTTAGCTTTCTCCTCTATGAACAAAATTGCAAACAGGAACCCTCTAATGCCATCTAGTAAGTATTTCTAACTTCAACTTCCAATGTCTATTGTAGGAGTTGGCAACCTTAAACACTCAGAGCCACAAAAGTCCTAACCAGAAGCCCCTCCCCCCCGGGTTCAATTCTGGAGCCGACTGGGTCTGGTTTCCCCACCATAGAGTCTCCTTCTAGTGCAGCATCCTTTCTCCTCTACCTGTCCTAACTGAAAGCCCTATCAATTGTGGAGCCAACCGGGGACAGGGAGCCGCAGCAGAGGAATGAAAGAGACACATGCAGCTCCATAGCCGTGGGTTGCTGACTCCCTGGTCTATGGAGATTCTCAGTCATCCAGGTCATAGTTGTTCCTAAGGTGCTTTTACAAGGGGCAACTGGACTTTCTTTGATTTTCCTTGAAAACATTTCCCTTCTCATCCAAGAAGCTTCTTCAGTTCTGACTCAATCTGACTCTATTCACAAGTCAGAACTGAAGAAGCTTCTTGGATGAGAAGCAAAACGCCTTCAAGGAAAAGCAAAGGAAGTCCAGTTGCCCCTTGAAAATGCACCTTTGGTTCAGCTTCCAATCTCAGAGCAGAAATGAACTTTTCAAAGAGGCCTGTGCCTCTTCCAAAATGGGGGCTCGGGACCACTGGGGTCGCTATTGAATTATACTTTCAGCATGATAGAAAGAAAAAAAGTGGAGTAATCCTATTAAATGCGTTGAACAATTTTTAAAATTAAAATTAAATGAAATAAAATCTATTTTCATCCAGAGCTTCTCCATTTCTTCAAGGCCAAAAGCAGCTTTCTGCCAAAAAGCTACACAGCTTTCTCCAAATTTTTTGTTCTCTCCAGGTGAGTTAGACTTCAACTTCCATAATTTTCAGTGAGCATAATCCTAGCTCCATTCTAGCACAGGATTATGGGGTAGGTAATAGAAGACAAAGCTGAACATGTGCATCAAATGATAGATTGAGTAAAAACCTTACAATGGCTTATCATTTTCTCAAGGAAAACATTCAGAACTATAATTATGGCCTTCATACAGATTTTCTTCCATGTATTTAACAATTTTAGATAGGATTCTAATTTGGCTATCACAATAAAAAAGGGGGGGTTGCTTCAGCCCCCTCCCGTCTTAATGAACAGCTACCATATAAACATGGTTACTCTGATTCAGATCACATAATACACCAAGGCTTAAAAGAAAGCGCATAACAATCCCGTTGCAATGTGAAAGGCAGATCAGATAACAAAAGCAAGCAGGATAAAGATCTGCATTGTTATTTAGGGGAAAAAAGAACACAGATGAAAGAGGAAATGAAATCCTAACGTAAAGAGCTTTTAATATTCTCTCTACCTTCCACGATTCCCTTCAAACAGCAAAGCAGCAAATACAAAACAGAATCATGATGTTTACGGTTGTTTTTAAAAAAATTCTTAAATTCTGGAAAGCTACAATATCAAGTTCATATTCAAGATTTTATTCTTGCAGAGAATTCTGCTTTTTTTTTTTAAACAATGGCTTAGTCTGTTGACTGCATTTTTTTTTTAGTTTACAGAAGTTTAATAATTGTGTTTATACACTGAAATGCACGTTTTTATTAAGAAAAAATAGACATTTAAAATGCAGTAGCCAAATACTGTAACTGTTGACTGAATTTTAATGAGGCAAAAATTTTAAAAATTTTCCTGGAAAAGCATGGTGGAAGAGCTATATCTAATTCCTTTACTAGTTGAGAAACAGTACGAATGTCACTTTGAGTTCCTGATGGAAAGGCAAATTCAACAAATACATAAATATGGGACATATGTTAACATCAAATGGTTTCATGAATAATAGACTATATGGCTGAAAAAAGTTTTATATGAAATAACAGCCCACAAAGAACCTAAGTTTAGTATCCTAAAATTGGATTTTGAAAGGATCAACCCTTATATAGTAATAGGGAATTTTCCTGTTTTTGCCGTACTTCAAAGTGTTTCTACAAATAATCTTTTTTCTATTCATAGACTGAAACCAGACTGAAACCTACTTATTACTCTTGTTAAAGCCAATCTAACAGTTCAAGCCCTACTCCCTCTGGTTTGATGCAAAAATGAAGACTAATCATTACTGGGAAATGGAAATGGGGAAGATACCAGTAACACATTTATGTCTTAGAATAGAATTGTAATGAGCTAAGCGTAACTTCCTTAACAGTGATGCATAATCTGCATCTTATGTGCCATTCCCTTGAATTATTTTAAAATTGTTTTATTCAAGTCTGAGAGACGCTTTCTCAAATTTTAATCTATAAATTTAGGTATCTAAACACCTACATACGTATTCCAGTCTCTGCTTAGGTAAAGATAAAGGTTCCCCTCGCACATATGTGCTAGTCGTTCCTGACTCTAGGGGCCGGTGCTCATCTCTGTTTCAAAGCCGAAGAGCCAGCACTGTCCAAAGATGTCTCCGTGGTCATGTAGCCGGCATGACTAAATGCCGAAGGCGCACGGAACGCTGTTACCTTCCCACCAAAGGTGATCCCTATTTTTCTACTTGCATTTTTACATGCTTTCAAACTGCTAGGTTGGCAGAAGTTGGGACAAGTAACGGGAGCTCACTCTGTTACGCGGTGCTAAGGATTCGAACTGACAAATTGCCAAACTTTCTGATTGACAATCTCAGCGTCTTATCTATCACTTCCTAAAGCAGGGGTCCCCAAACTTGGCAACTTTAAGATTTGTGGACTTCAACTCCCAGAATTCTCCAGCCAGNCCTTCATTATATGCTGCAAAAAGTCTAATGGCATCTTTGAAAAGGAGCATGAAGGCTGCATTAATTACACCATTTGTGAGTTCATTGCTGTTGACCTGTTAAAAAAAGGAGAGGAGAAGGGAGAGGGAGAGAGAGGGAGAAAGAAAGATGGAAGTTAAGCAAACTGAGGAAAAAAAAAACGTCCAAACTATCTTCTACTTCATATTGAGGATTTCTTCCTTTGACATTACATATAAACTCATTCAGATAGTCCTTGATTTACAACAGTTCAGTCAGTGACCATTTGAAGTTACAATAGCACTGAAAAAAAGTGACATGACCCTTTTTCACACTTAATGACTGTTGCAACTTCCGCATGGTCATGTGATTTACATTCAGATACTTGACCGTGGTATGTATTCATGACAGTTGCAATGTCCCGGGGTCATATAGCAATAGCACTTAGACTTAAGTATCGCTTCGCAGTGCTTTACAACCCTCTCTAAGCGGTTTACAGAGTCAGCGTATCGCCCCCAACAATCTGTGTTTTACCGACCTCGAAAGGATGGAAGGCTGAGTCAACCTTGAGCCAGTCAGAATCGAACGTCCTGGCAATGGGCAGAATTTGCCTGCAATACTGCATTCTAACCCCTGCACTACCACTGCTCATACGATCCCCTTTTGCAACCTTCTGACAAGCAAAGTTAACGGGGAAGCCAGATTCACTTAACAACTGTGCTAACCACCAAAGTGATTCACTTAACAAATGTAGCACAAAAAAAAGTCATAAAGTGGGGCAAAACTCACTTAACAAATTATTCACTTAGCAAGATAAATTGTTAACAGAGCTCCATGCGCCTTCAGCATTTAGTCATCCTGGCTACATGACCACAGAGATGTCTTTGAACAGTGCTGGCTCTTCGGTTTTGAAACTAAGATGAGCACCGCCCCCTAGAGTTAGGGACGACTAGCACATATGTGCAAGGGGAACCTTTACCTTACTGATGAAAATAAAACGGCAAACTTACATTCCTACTTGTAGCCCTTCCCAAACTTTGCAATTCAACAAAAATCACATTAAAATATGCTTTCATAAATATTATCCCACATTGGGAAACTGATTTGCAGTTATTCATCCAGAGTAATGCAACTATGTACAATGTATGGAGAAAGAGAGAGGGGAAAAAAAGTCTATCCCTTTCTCATAAATGTGTGTGGTTCTGTCAACATTCTACTGTAGTAATGGAGTGTGTGGGGACCTTGGGCTAGAGCCATTTTGGTCTAATGGTTAAGGCACGAGGATAACAAATGGGAGATTGTGAGTTTACGGCCAGCCTTAGTCATGAAAGCCAGCAGAGTGACTTTAGATCAGTCATCCTCTCTCAGCCCAACTTATCTAACGGGGTGGTTATTGTGGGGAAATAAGAGGAGGAAGTTGTTGCGTATGTTTGCTGCCATGGCTTGTTTGTAAAAACAATAAAGGCGAGATACAAACAAATCTGAGAGAAAAAGATGTTGCCTTGGAATCAATCAGACAAGAGAAGGGGAAGCTGCCAAAGACTTAATGCTTAGAGGAAGAAACTGAGGAAGGACCCACCCTAACTGATCAGGCGGTTAAAAAGTTGGTGGCAGGAAGTTCGTACTTTCAGACTTGCAAGATTCTGTTTGATGAAGTCTTACAATAAAGTAGATTTAGCCCATCTGGTTGTGTTTTCTGTATCGTTTAGCCAGGCGGATTGACTGCTATCTAACACCAACTAATGAGGGCATTTCTTCTGGGTTAGAGGTTAGAAATGACTATTTTGCCAAGAGAAAATTGAAGTGAGTTTCATTCCCCAATTTCAAATCTGGTTCTAATGAACAAAAGGCAGGCATAGCAGCTAACTGCTAAAGGGCCTCCAATGTTTCCAGAGCGGTGTTCAACTTGTCAACTTTAACATAAGTGGACTTCAACCCCTAGAATTCTGGAAGTTGAAGTTCACGCAACTTAAAAGTTGTCATGCTTGAAAAACACGGGCCCAGAGCAATCACATTCCCCAGCTTTGATTGCTTTCATCTGCACGATTAACAGAAGAACTCAGTGGGACAAAGTCTGGTCTTGCTACATTGGCCTACTAACAGTTCTGGATTTCTACTTCATTTTAGGTATGAAGGAACTGTAAGAATGATCCACACCTTACATTTTGAACTTCAAACCAGGGTATGGATTCTAAACAGTGGTAACACAAACCACGTTTGAGTACATTTCAACCCAGCTATTAATTCTGAACTACTGTCGATGCAAAATTTATTTTCTCTAACACAACAGTGTATTTTAAATACTTCACGAATATATTTAGCTATATACATATTTTTATGTCATGAAATATGTACGTTCTATGATAGATTGATGGATGGATGGATGGATGGATGGATGGATGGATGGGATGGGATGGGACAGGACAGGATAGATACATATAGGAAGAACAAGTGAAAGAATATAAAAGACAATATGCTACTTGTAGGCAAACATAGGTTTTTACTACCTTATGCAAATTTAACAAGGTGTTTAGATGTCATTAAAGAGACATAAATTAAATCAAGATTAATTCAGTAAGCTGAAACCAATGCCACAAGATTAATTCTGATCATGTAAAAGCTCCTCTCTAATATTCCTTTATGAGTAGCTAAAATGACTTACATTGAAATCAAGCAGTGCATCCATTTGGTTTTGTATAATTGGTACAGTTTTTACCAGTTTTTCAGTATTCATTGTCCTCATGACTCCATCAGCTCTATTAAACAATAAAAGAAAACTTGTTAAGATAAGTAAATGGATTTGGTATAATACCTGCCACAGATGTTTCCAGAGGTTTAAGACTGCTATGTTTTTTTTCACTTCCTTTTTCTCATGTATGCACATCAAAGTAATGATTTGGACTGGGAGTAATTCCTGAACTACCCTTTTATCTCCATTAAAACTATTTAGTTATGTAGTTTGGAATTTCTAAAATACACAAACTGGGAGCTAGTTTGGGGTTTTAAGAACCAGATAGGCTAGTAGATTTTCAAGAATTATCCCCCACATTCTTCAACTTCCATCCAATTAGAAGTTCTGGCTGTTAGTCTGCAATAGTCTAAAGTTTGCACATGCATGTTGCCTGATGCCACTTATTTTCAGATCAATTGTGCCAACTACCTAGATCAGTACATAATGAACCTAATCATCAACGGAGGGTTTTTTTTACTTTCTCTGAAACAAGTGTTTACTTTCCTTGAAGCAATCACAAGAAAAATGAAAGTGCTTGACAACTGAGTCACTGCTTAATAGAATACACCACAACTTTAAAAAGAAAGTCTCTGTATTCATTCTACATTGATTTGTTGTGTATGTGCATTTAAAATTTTCATGAAATAAATTTATCCACAGAGCAAAAGCAATAGTTTTTAAGCTAAAGTGAAACAAAGAAAATAGAAAGCTCAAAAAAGAAACAGACCCCCCCCTAAAAATAATTATTATTATTAAGTGGCTTCTAATCTTAACAGCAATAATATGTACATTTTTATTTTTTCTTTAATCTCTTTGGCTCCATATAAGTTACTGTCTTTCCATAATCTATCCGTTTAATCAGAAAATTCATAAATCATAAATTCCATGTTTTTCAGCAAAAAATTCAGAAGGATTTCCAGTCACTACTAAATGTAGTACAGGAAGTCTTCAACTTACAGCCACAACTGAGCTCAAAATTTCTGTTGCTAACAGAGACATTTTTAAAATGAATTTTGCCCTTCTTTATGACCTTTCTTGCCAGAGATGCTAAGTGAATCACTGTAGTAAAGTTAATAACATGACTGTGAAGTGTATTTGGCTTCCCCATTGACTATGCTTATAAGAAAGTCATAAAGCCACTTACCGTATTTTTCGGCGTATAAGGCGCACCCAGGTTTTGAGGAGGCAAATTTAAAAAAAAAAGTTTTTCCACTCTGCAAACCTCCCCAAAACAGCCCGTTTTTTGTGAAAATCCCCCCCTTTTTTTTCCAAAAAAGGGCATGAATAACCCTTAGGAGGCTTGTAGAGTGTTCCTGGTGGGGACGCGCCCCCCCCCCAAAAAACAAGCAAAGATGGCCCATTTTTCGTGAAAACGGGCCCGTTTTTTGTCAAAAAAAAGGGGGGGCATTAGGAAGCTTATAGAGTGTTTCTGGAGGTTGGGGGGGGGAGGAATTGAGCAAAAAATAGGCCATTTCCTGCTCATTTCCGCCCTCCCCAGCCCCAGGAGCTCTCTGAAAGCCTCCTACAAACTATGCAAGGCCATTTTGGTGAAGGGGACAGGGTTTCAGGAGGCAAAAAATTCTGTATTCAACATATAATATGCACCCAGATTTTTAGCCCTTTTTTTTAGGGAAAAAGGTGCGTCTTATACTCTTAAAAATACAGTAATTATTATAATTTTACTTTTTTTCCCATTACAACAATATGCCCAAAATTCTTGGTCCATTTATTTGTTTGTCTCCATTTCCCATTTTAGCAAGAATTATATGTTTCATTGTATATTAATTTTAGGAGGCTAATTTTGTTGTTGATTTTCATTGCTTGTATGCTGTTATTGCTTTGTTTTCGAATAGTTGCATATTATCAGGGTGGATTTAGCAGGGGTAATATAACAGTTATCTACAATAGTACTAATGTTTAAATAGTTTAAGCAAATTCTATATGAGTTTCCAGAAAGGATCAGATCCTTGAAGCTTTGAAAATGAATTTTTCTTTGAATTTTTAGATTCTAAATTATTCTGCATGATTAAAGCGGGCGCTGCAAACAAGTGATGGGTTCACCTGTGTGAAATACTTACCCTCTTTTTACTTTTGTAAAGTCAAAAGCTACTTGTCTGTAGGAAACTGCTTTCTCATTCAAATATCTGCTATATCTCCTAATAAATGTGGACATATCATATCCTAAAGGAAGCAAAGAGAAAGCAAGTTATTTCTTATGTGAAACCAGATTAATATTAAAGAGGTGACATTCAAAGGATTGCCCACTAGCAAATTTATGTATTTGAATCAGTTTGTTAATTATCAGCAGCATATATGTTTTGCTATGAATCACGTCAGATATTATGCCTTGGGCTCCCCCACTCCACCCCCATTTTGCTTATTAACGTCAAAGCTGGGAGTGCGAGTAGTGGTTTATTGATCAGCTTGAATAAAACTGCAATATACATAGTCCTCAACTTATAATTGTAATAGACTTGCCCATTACGGTCATAAGTTGTAACACTTGTGAAGTGGGTCACCCATGTAACCAACCCATTTTTTACAAGCACTCAATGCAACTAATGAAGTAAACATATTTGTAAACATGTACATGTGTTCTTCAGGGAGGCAAAAGGGGGCTTTTAGTTTTTATCATAGTGCAATTTAGCTTTTCTTGTTAGAGTATTTCATTGGACATAAGACTGCGCACATGCGCATGGTGCGTACAGTGCCTGCACGATGCTCCGTGGAACAGCCGGAGCGTCGCAGAGGCACTATTTCATTGGACATAAAACTGCAAAACACTATTAAGAAAAAGTTAGGGATTATTTGACACAGATCGAAGAATTTACCTTGCAATCCACTTTTGTCCAAGAAATTGCTCAAGTTAAACAATGTGTTTCTGGAAGCCAAGTACTGGGTAAAACGCTGGAAGGAAGAAAATGACTCAGTTATTCAACTGGAACTGTACATGGCTCAATATATTTCACATAGCGAAATGGAGTTTAAAATTCCGAGAATCGAGTATATAAATATAGTCTGTTCACCAGGTTAAAGAAAACCATTGTGAGCCAACAGATTTCTGTGGAAATGAATTATTACGAGAAAAATTACTAGCCTATCATCCCATAAAAAGTGACATTGATTGCAAATCTTGTCAGAGGAACTAAAACCTTATCTGAAAGTTAAAGAGATACGGCTAATTTGCTTTAAAAACTTGGATCGGTTCACCATTGGCCTACTTAGAACAATGCAGACAACTGTATGGCAAGGCACTTTAGTCATTTAATCAGTCACGATTTAACCATATGGTTAATGATGCTCATTTGGGATGACTCATATCTAGCCCATTAATTTCTCAGTCTTGTCTAGCCCACAGCTTCCTGTTTCTTTACTGATAAAGTTCTCACTAATGCCAAAGACATGAATTGCACGGTATAAATAAAAGTATTGTAGTATAGAAGCATGAGATGAGGAGCTAGTTTAATACTCCGGATATGTTTGTCAGAATGATATAGCATCATTGTTCTGTAAATACACTGGTCTGCCCCACCCTTTTTGCGAGGACAATTATATACCTGAGACACGTTAGTACAGGCAACATTAAATAGGCAAACCGAAAAGCATTGTTTCTGCTCACAGCGGAGGATTATAATTGGAGTATTGTTCTACTTTTAATTGGGACAATTGGAAATTGTTTTTAGCTAAAAGGGTTTAAGAAAACATTATTCTTTAGGAGAATGGAAGCCAAAACTCAGGGAAAGGCACAATTCACATTACACTTCAGAAGAGATTCTAAATACAGATAGTACTCAACATACAATCATAACGGAGCCTGCCCATTAAGATGGTATGCCATGATGACCCTAAAACAGATCAGTAACGTGACCAACTCTATTTTATGACCTTCTTTGTGAAACCATTAAGTGAACATGGTAGTCATTATGTGAAACCCAGAGTTTTCTATGGCACGGTTCTGCTAAAAACCAGAAACAGCTGTCAATTTTCAGCAAAACCATCATAAAACACAAGTCATGCGATTATAGGATGCTGCAAATGTGGCCGTGTTGCCAAACATGTAGTAACATGACTATATGGGGGGGGTGTGACATGACCATTGTAACTTCAGGACCAAGTTATATTTCCCTTTTTTCAGGTAGGTTATAATGATAACCAGTCACCAAGCAAACATTCGTAAATCGAGGACTATCTATAGTAGCATTAAGAAATTTCAGAAAACACACACACAGACACACACACACACACAGGGACATGGTGGCTCAGTGGCTAAGACGCTGAGCTTGTCGATCAGAAAGTTTGGCAGTTTGGTGGTTCGAATCCCTAGTGCCACATAACAGAGTGAGCTCCCGATACTCGTTACTTCTTCCAACCTAGCAGCTTGAAAGCATGTATAAATGCTAATAGAAAAATAGGAACCACTTTGGTGGGAAGGTAAGTGTTCCATGACCCTTCGGCATTTAATCATGCCAGCCACATGACCATGGAGATTTCTTCAGACAGTGCTGGCTCTTCGGTTTTGAAATGGAGATGAGCACTGCCCCCTAGAATCAGGAACCACTAGCACATATGTGCGAGGGGAACCTTTACATTCACACACACACTTATATTTACAGCATATGAACTAAATATAAAAACTGAATGGAAGTAGGAATTAACCTAAAGCACCCATGATAAAGTTTTACCAGTTTGGCTTTCAAAATTAGGGTATATTTAAGTATCTCCTTTAGAGATAAAGAGACAAGGGACCTCTTACCAAGAACCACAGATGCATGTTGTACATGGACACAAATATGCAGCCTGCAGAAATACTTCAAGCCAAGGAGTGTAACACACATCTTTTTCTCAGATGAATTTGTATAGAATTCCCCACCCCCGGAACCCTGTTCCCTCTTTTGTTTATCATACAATAACTAACAAGTATCATTTAAAATACAATGTCCTTCAGACTGCGTTTTGTTTTTAAACTAGCAGACTTAGCACTTTTAAGCTGAGGTGCAAATATACTTGTGACACCAAAATACACCAGTCTTCCTTTGTATGTAAATTGGATTGTGAGATATATTCTGGTATTTTGCTCTTCAACATGTATTTGCTAGTCCTTTATCTTTTTATTCTTTTTTAACTATCTTTTTCCCCTCCCTGATCAAAAAGAAAGCCACCAGGGAGAGAGAGAAAAAAGGACCCATATGTATTTCCAAAACAATATTCCCCAGCCTAGCAACCGGCCACAATTGCTGGTAATTATAGGAAAGGGGGGATCTAACATGTTTCACAGGCATTAATTAGAGTTATAAGAGAAGCAGGTGTTACCTCATTTCCATGAACAATGAGATGGTGAGTTGTGATGAGAGATTTGAAGACTACTACCCAGCTACTGTTAGTTGTCCTTTCAAATAGGCTGTCTGCCAACTGTGGGATGTTTACGTTCATGTCATTCGTACACAGTATTAAATCTGAAAAAGAAGGAAAATGCATATTGATATTTCAAGCCAAACAAGCTGCATTCCATTAGGAAAAGCTTCTTATTCCTCCAGGGTCCCATGAGCCACTGAAAGAAGAGCACATCTGGATTTAAACCGTGCCTCTTCCATAGAATACATTCTAGATCCCACCAAAGAATTCCTCTACAGGTAGACCTCGACTTACGGACCAACAATAGAACCCAACTTTTCTGTGGCGAAGTGTGTTAAGTGAATTTTACTCCATTTACAACTTTTCTGGCCACAGTTGTTAAGTGAATCACCGCAGTTATTAAATTAATAACACGGTTGTTAAGCGAATCTGGTTTCTCCCATTGACTTTGCTTGTAAAAAATGGGT